AGGACAATCCATACTTGTTGTTTGGTGTTTCATGCTTATGAATGCAAGAAGTATAATTCTTTAGCTTGTTCATGTGTTTTGATTGTGAGCTTAAAGGAAGGAATAATGGCTTAGTTTGATATATTGGGCTATTCATTAGGTTGTTTAGACAATGTATATTTAATTAGTCATCCATACTTGTTGATTCAATCAATCACACATATTAGTATTGCCAAATATATTTTCCCTCATTCATTATACATTGAGTGTCTAGAAAGGTGATGTTTAGTGGTGACCTCTAAGTCCCAAGACCCCTCTCTATTATTTCTCTACCCTTTATTTACTTCAATTGCTTTGAATTGAATTTGTTTACATTGTAGTTTAATTAACTAATCAAACCTCCTTTTTGATCACTCGACCTACTATCCGACCTTGTTTCCATATCAATATTGCTTTCAATTCCCTTGGGACGATCCCTACTCAACCTAGCTATATTAGTAGTTAGAGGTAGTAGTGACACTCTATAAATTCAAACTTGACCACACTACACACAATTTGGTGCATTACCACGACACCACACCAAGTAATTTTCCGCAATGGGCGAAAGCCTGACGGAGCAATGTCGCGTGGAGGTAGAAGGCCCACGGGTCGTAAACTTCTTTTCTCGAAGCTAAAAATAAATAATTCAAATTTTTTTTTGTGTAAATTTATTATAACACATCATATTTACAAAAAAAAAAAAAAAAAAAAAAAATTATACACAACGGTTGGAGATGCTCTAATTTTACACATTGGTGATATGCCAGTATATCTTAACAGACGGCTAGAGATAAAAAAAATAAAAAATAAAAAATAAAAAAAAAAACTTTACACATCACGCAGTGTATAATTTACATAAAAGAATATTTTAACAAACAGCCAGAGATACTCTAATGAAATATATCACATGTTTAAATTATGTAGGCCACAGTCCAAATTACAACCCTATTTTATTATTTGTTCTATCAATTGGTGAAGTGCATTATCATCAGCATAATTCGTATTACTATAATAGTATGAAATTTACACGCACGTTATTATAATGATATAAAATGCAGTGGAAACAAATAGTAACAAATTTCGAACCTTACCCATTTCTCACTATTATAATACTTCACCAATTGAATGCAAGCGTGTATTCCTCTGACAGGAGAGGATCTCATATAATTAACTTCACTTAGGAGTCTAACTAATTTAGGGTTTTAATCCTCTAAGAGGTCTATTTTAATTTTGAGGTCCTAGTCATCTAAAGTTCAGGTCACATTAGGACATTAGCTCCCCATCTAGAGTTCGGCTATGGTTTACGTGAATAGAGTCACTTGTTTTTGTGTAAGCGTGCCCTAAGTGATCTAGCACCATTTTTTCAAATTTTGTAAGCCCTATTTTTTTTAGTCCTTTTGAAATATGCATGATTTATCACAATAACTAGACTGAGTAAAATTACTTTTGTATAACGATAAGTCTCTAAGGTGTAATATCTTTAACATTTTGTTTATTTATGTAAGAAGTATATTATATTTATACGAGAATGTAAAATCATTGCGACTTGGTTGCAATTGCGACTTGGTAGTTGCAACGTATATTTGTAGGATAAAATTTGAAAAAAAAAAAAATTTAATTTTGATTAACAAATTTTTTTTTGTACATATTATCTAAATGCCAATTTTTTTTACTTGTAATAGATATTACCCTATTCGCAATATTAAAAAATATCTCTCGTATGTATGTCGTTAGACATACATTTATAGAAATATCTTACTTAATACTCAGTTAAATCATTATCATTCGAATTTTTGCACTGCTGTTAAAAATGGACACAAAACACCAGCGGTCGAGCACAATAATTAGCATAATCTCGCCTTTAAAACATTTGGTTTGTTCACAAAACACCAGCGGTCGAGCACAATAATTAGCATAATCTCGCCTTTAAAACATTTGGTTTGGTCACTTGGTGTGAACTTCACATCTATTTATAGGTCAAGGGTGTTACAATGAACAGAAGATGATTTATACAAGTGTTAGCTATTAAGTATAGTTCTATAATCCTCCAAAGAATATGTAAAATATTTATTCATTACTTGACAAGTTTTGTGAAGTTTATATAAATTTGAGAATGTCAGTGTGCTATAGAAATAATGGTAAAAACTACTAGACTTCCTGGTTAGATTTAAAATTTAATCTGAATAGTGACAACCATTATACACTGTTTCAAAACCATTGATTTGAATCTTGAAGCTTTTGAATCTCTATAAATATTGTTATAAAATTACTTTAAAAAAAAAAAATTAAATACACGCCTCAAATAGTCTCATAAGTTTAAGGAGTAGGCATTAATTTTGAGTAATCAAATTTCACAAATTTTTTCATCTTGAACAGTTCTACAAGTCTGATCATCTTTAACAATATTAAACTATCAGATTTCGCATTGATTTTTTTTGTCATTTTCTTCAACAAACTAAATATATAATTAGCATAAAATTTTAAGTGTCTAAAGCTATAACACAATTAGACATAAATTTTTAATAAAAGTACATAATATGGAACAATTGCTTTATTATTTTTCATCTTTTTAAGTGTGTTTTTTAAAAATGAAAAAAAAAAAAAAAAAAATTGATAAAGAGACTCTGGAACTAATAGCATCTCCGGTGTTGGCCTTCATTTTCATTATACACTTTATGTAAGTATACAACCACATAAGCAATTGGTTCAACACTTATTTTGGAGACTCTAAATTCTGGTTGTGCACTCATTTTTTCATTCTAAACTTTATTATATTATTATTTTAAAAAAAATAAAATAATTTTTTTAATTGTTTTTTTTTTTTTTTTTTTTCAACGGTTTTATTCTCAACAATTATAATGCTAATGGCTATAGTTGTTTGTCCAATTATATGTTTAGACAAAAGATTTTTTTTATAAAAAAATAATTTGGTATAATCAAATAAAATGTAACTTTTATATTATTAAGCAAATTAATTAAATCATTACGTGACAAAGAAGTTTAAATTTATTAATCGAATAAAATGTCATTTTTATATTATTATGCAAATTAATTAAATTATTATGTAATAAATAAATAAATTAAATTGATAAGTCAAAAAGTACAACTTTTTTTTTAAAAAATAATTAATTAAATACTTATGCAAATTAAATGACCCTTTTTATTCAGTTAGAAAAATTAACTCTTTTTTAATTAATTAAATTATGACTATTTTTATATTAATTAATTAATACAATACACATATCATCATTATTTTACTCACCATCACACAATATCATTTTTTCATTTTACGTCGTTATCATAAACAATAGCCCACAGCTGCTTACGCTACTCTATTCCTCATTTGTGGAGTGTGAAGTGTGAAATGTGTAATATGGCGTGGGGCCTACTTGGGTATAATGTGCAAACTAAAGACTTTCATTCAAAACAGTATAAAATATTGTACACATTTGCCTTGTCCGGGTTGCTCTAATTATATTATTTTATGTCAATATTATCTAAATCCTTAATACATCGCAAACAGTCCACCGTAATTACAATCAACAATGGAGTGTAGTACTATACTAAAGAATCTAAAGTTTATTATTATTACTAGTATTATTATTTTGAATTATTGAGTCATTTGACTAGTTAGCAAGAATGATTTGACGTTTTTGTAGTTGTATTACTGAAAAATGTGAAATGGTGTTCCCTGCTTACCTAGTAACAGTACTTGTCTGTAACATGAATGAAAACAACAAAAAATTGACCTTTGTCAATGAATGTGACAAGTTTAAAAAAAATGGAAAGGCAATGAAAAACCAAACATTTGTGACAAATCATTTCAATTATCAAATCAAATTGCAAAGAACAAAGTCAATTTTGCCTCCTCAATCTCACAATTAGGCCGACCATACCAAATATATTAGAGAGCCATGACATCATGAGCTCATCCCCCCCCCCCCCCAAATTCCTTTTTTTTTTATAATCAAAATCCTTTTTAATGAAAAATTTAATACTGTTACAGTAACATATCATTAATGATCCTTTTTAATGAAAAAATTTATATTGTTATAGTAACACATCATTAATGATATTGAATGAATAAAACCTTGTATATCTCTCACTAGAGAGGATTATGATATAATATCATGGTACAAATTATATGATTTTAATATTTTTTTACAAGACAAGAAATACTAAATATTAAATTAGTAAATGTAGAGGGTCGAAATTTGACACACTAAAATTTACGAGGGGCACAAAAATATAAAATTTATAAACTCTTCTTGTATTTCAAGTTCTTTTTGTTGCTTGGATTAATGTAACCTTTGTTCAAATTCTATCTAAAATAAATCCGGGCTCTAAACTTAAAACATAATCTCATTCCATGGATTCAAATGCCTTATCCATGCCTGTAAAATTTTACGGGACTTGAGTTGCAGTCCCATCTTTAATTATCACCACTAGAGATAACAATGGAGAGGTTTGGGGCGGGAAAGACCATCCTCATTCTCATTTAGAATTGCTTCTGGTTAAGATTTCATAGACACAATAAAACACAAGATTTTACGGGTGAAAAAGATTGTTGCTAAAAATGAACACAAACACAACAGCTGTTAATCCAATCAGGTCCTACTACTCAATAACCAAATTCCCTTTTTATGTGAAAACCAATTCCACCGGAAAATCTGAAATCAATCATAGATTCATAGGGCATCCACCCTCAATTAATATCTAACAGGAACAAGTCAACACACATTCCAACACATACTAATAATAGTTTGAGAATCTCGCGCGTGGCACCTGCACTTTTTCTTTTTTTCTTTTTTTTATAGGCAACATCAATTGTTTTTTATTTCTCATTAAATTTTGAAATAATTCAAAAAAAAATATATATATATTTTGGAGGTCAAAGACAAATAAATAGAGTCAAATTAATAGAGTTTTCTCGACCTGGGCATGGAATTTTAAAATCCCTACAGATACATTGAACATCAAAATTGTACTCGACCAAAGGAGGCATGCATTAGGAGAAATGTACATTTCACACTAAATATTTACAAGGTTGGGACCAAAGATCAACTAATGATTGACCAAAATCTTTGCAATACAGTTTTGAAGCCCTATTATTAAAGCACCAAACTATCCTAACATTTACAGAAAAAATCAACACCACCAAGTTACCTAAGTAAATTGCTCAGGAACATGACTTCATCAAGCCCAAGTTGTAGAGGAACTTCTCCGATCTTGTCCGGAAAAGATTCCCAAAAGAAAATCTCCCACTCTGCTGGGGTGGTGAGGTTGAGTAGGCATCATCCTTCACACGAAGCACAGTCAGGCCTATCTCTTTTCGAACAGCCTCAATTGTTTCGCTCTTAACAGGGTCACCCGATGCATCAGTCACATAGAAAACATTCACAGCTTGGGAACCCCTGGTTGTGACCTCAGCCCGGCTGACTGAGAGACCATTTTCTCTAAATATGCGAGTTACATCAGAGAGAAGGCCAACTCTGTCTTCACCACACAGTTCTAGTCTTATACCCTGCATTATGAGCAATAATGCAAGACGATCACGTGTAAATCAGATTGAAGAGAAAGTGGAAAGCTGGATTAAAGAAAACTTGTTCGTGTACGTACCTCAGAAGTTCGCCTCTTAATGGCAGCCTCCAAACAATGAATTACTCGCTGCCTCTCTGCTTCAGAACTAATTGGGCACCCGTCCATATGCCTGATAAAGTATTCCTAGTAGAAAAAGTGTGTAGCACACAACACAATGAGATTTCATATAAAAATATTTCATTTGGTCAATTAGATGTATGCACAATTTGGGGGGGGGGGGGGGGGTGGGGGATCTTCAGTGACCATGACCGTTAGAAAGGATAATGGATTTAACTAAAATGAAATAAGATTTAGGTTACAAATTATGATAATGCACTTGCCAGAAGCTTGGAAATCTGTTTTCATTTAAAAGTCAACATATTTAACTCAAGTATATATATATATATATATATATATATATATATAGAACTATGTAACTTTAAGAGCATTGAAGAATACCTGATACGCCTCTGGTCCTTCGGCAATGACAGTGGCATGGAATACCACATACTGCATATCCGTCAATGTGCACACTGTATCAAAGAGTAGCTTGGGCCGGTCAGGACACCTCAAGTTCACCACAGTATATCCTTTATCTACACAATTTTCTACAGTAACAAAGGGTTTGCTCCGGTCACTCGTGGACCCAATATCCGTATCACGAGTATCATAGTCACGATCAGCATACATCATTTGATGCAACCTCCTTTCAGTATGAGTAGAACCAACAGAAACAGCAGTGTTGGCGCCTCGCTTATCTCTGTTCCCTTTAAGCACATATAGGAGAAGCTGCTTAATCTTAGCAAGGCGGTCAGGATCGCCTATTGGTAACCCGTTTCCTTCATCTGTGATGTAAACCACTGATGCCATTCTTGAATTGTGGGTCCAGACTTCAGCAGCTACCACATTACACTTCAGGTCAGCAAGGACAGCAAAAATCTCCGAAAGCAAACCTGGTCGGTCTCTTCCAGTCAATTCAATGGTTGTGTGTTCCACAGCAGCTTGGACACCCACAGACCTTTTCAAGGACCGGAAACTACGTCCCCTTGGTCCCAGTGACTGCAACATGTAAAAGATTAATCAGCAACATGAATAGAGATATTCACATGGTTCCAAGCAGTACGTTGTATAATACAAAATTGTACAAACTAAACTGCAGCCAATTCTTCATTTCTCTACTCTATGTGTACCTAGTAATCAAACACTTTCTTTGAAGTAGGGGAACTAAAATGCAATTTTTTTTACCAGCCCTGCTCCTCTCACTATATTTGCATATTTTACCAAAGACCACCATAGTATTTATTAGATGAGATTTAAGAAGAGTTTGTCTTTCTTTTGATAGCAAAAATCAATATAATTTTCAATTTGAAGTGCTAGCCAAACAACGCCTCAGGCGAAATAAGACTCTTCTCTTCTTTTATTTTTTATTTTTTGTGACATTTGGAGTAACTCTGATGTTGATTTAACTTGTAGAACATTTTCTAACTTAGAATTCAAGCAGGACCTAATTTTTAACAAGTCGATTAAAACTCAAGCAGGACCAAAGCATATAAAATCATTCAAGCATTCTATAGAGCAAAAGGGGTCTACTTTGCTCTATAGACCTAATTTATTTTTCTTCACATTTAGTGAAATAGTTGGTCTCACACAACACAGTGAGAAGAAAATGGAGTCTAATTTCAGTAAAATACTTCTAAAAATAAAAAAATCCCAAACCATATACTGTAATATACTGATTATGCATAAATCTGAAACTAAACCTCCATAGCATTTCCCAGGAAACTCTTAACAAAATTCAGGTCAATGAAGAGAGAAGACTAGTTCCGCAGATCTACCTGCTGAATACGTTCCGCGACATTTTCTTCACAGAGCTTATTGCCATATTGATCAGTAACATGAAACACTGCAGTAACAATTATAAAGCAAGAAAATCAATACTGAATCATAAAAATGATGAAAAAAAAAACCCCAATTAAATTAATAGGATAGTAAATAAAAGGATAAAAAAGCCAACCATCCATGAACCATTCCCCATCTGAAGAAATGTAAGCCCGTCTAACAATTAGATCCAAATCAGTCAGAACCTGAACCACCTCCAATAAGCTCCCCCGCTTATTTGCACTATCAACCTGAGAAAAATCCACATATAATACATTTCATAGTGAAATCCTCTTAAATCAACCAATTCAAGATAAACCCAATTCAATTTAACGAAAAAAAAGATAACCCAATTCACACAATAAAGATTCAATTTACCTTGATCAAAGTGGCTTTTCTGTCCGAGGCATTATCAACAGTAACCCTACAGATTCAACATCAAGAACAACAATTAACTAACAAACCCAATTGCCAAGAACTTCGAATTCAACCATATTAGATCAAGAACGTGAAATTTGAAGAAACAACAGGAAAGAAAGAAAAGGATGACAGAATTGAAGTACTACCTTGGTGGGTTCATACGAAGTACAAGCTTCTCGAATTCGTCATCAACGGTCACAGAAGAAGACCAATAATCCATTTGAAGAAATACAGCGAAAAGGGTTTCTTCTTCTGGACAATAACAGAGCTCTAGTTGATATATATATATATATGTATCTATATAGAGAGACACAGAGAGAGATATAAAAAGGGTATGCTCTGTTGTGTTTTCTCTCTCTCTCTCTCTCTGTGGTCTCTCTTGTGAGAGTGTGTAGTTGTTTCTGCCAATGGAATCAAGTTGGGGGAGGTTGATGGTAAAATTGGCTAAAAAACAGGCAAATAGGTGGGGTGGCTCTTGAGTTGAACCAAGAGTCTTTTTGGAGGGACGTAACAAGGAAAATGGAGGCTCAATAGGGGACTAAATCAGCCTTGTTGTCTCTGCTCATGTGGGTACCACACTCCCCCTCCCTGCCTTAGACTCCTAGGGTTTGTTTTCTAATCTCTTTAAAAATGGTTACATATTGGCCCTGTTTTAGAACTTCCATTGGCCACTTTTTAAACAATTTGATTTAGGGTTAGGATCCTTTGTTAGGGGGTAGTACTACCATAGTGATAGAGGGGTACTTCATCTTACATCGAATTTCATAAAAATTGAAAGAGAAATAAATGTCTAGGTATGCAGCATTATTAATAGTTTAAGTTTTTAAGTAAATGAACAAGCGTTTACCCGTTACACTTAGTATCAGAATCAAATCCAATCCTTAATTCAATGTCACGCCAAGCGCCCGACCTAAAAGGCATATAAATGTGTCACCCAAGTAGGTAGGGTGGTCCAATCACAATGAGGGTGTTACGAGTTCGGGTGAGGAAGAATTTTACAAAGAGTACTTTATTTCACATCGGATCCGAATGAACAGTAAAAGTGATATAAATGGGCAAGTATGTAGTACTATCTAATAATTTAAATTTTTGAATAAATGGATAACCACTGCCCACTTATTACACTTAGTTTAAAATGAATTAGAAAGACCCACACCCTAACCCGAGGGAGTATTTGAATTAGTATAGAATATATTCTCAAAGTCTTATTCAATTTGCTGAGTTATTGCAGATATTTAAAGACGGTGGAAACGTGTGTGTGTGTGTGTAACAAAATAAATAATAACAAGAACGATAAATAAATGATTGGACCCTTTTTAAGGCCTCACAATCTATAAGTAAGATTTTGCTTTACGGATTATTGTCACAATTCAGGTGATCCAATCTAATTAAAATTTTTTAATTAAAAAAAAATTAAATCATCAAAATATTATTAAAAAAAATTCAAATATTAAATTTAATTGAGGTGGACCACCAACTCACCTATGTTGTAGGATTATTTAATACTTTCTTAATTTTGCTCAACTTTTTAAGAAAAATTATTAAATAATCCTTTTACCAATTGATACTTGATAGTCTATCCAAATAAAATTATTATTCATATTTCTTTGTAATATATATATGTCATGGAGTTTACACTTTTTGTGGGTTCATTTTTAAAATGGGAAAATATGAATTAAACTGGACTACGTGTCACTCATTCAGGATCTTCGAATAATTTCTCAACTTTTTTAGTGCCCATTTTTGTTGGAGAGAAATGAAAAGAAAATAAAATAAAGGAATTGAATAATTTTGTGTTTTGAAAATGAACGTATTTGGAAAGATATTAGGTTTTGTTATCCTTTCAAATATGAAAAGAAATAGAAGAAAAATGTTACAAAGTTTAATAAAACATTTTTACTACCGATTTTGGTCTTATTTTTAAAAAAAACAAAATAAAAATACCATATGATTCTCAAGACATATTTTTATTCCCTTAACCATTTTTTTTTTCTTTTCAAATTATCACTTCATCTTGAATGATGTTTAACACAATTTTTACATTTGTTTTACCACTTCTGATATATATTTTGCCTTTAAAATGTGAAAACATATAGTAGTAAATTCACTAAACTAAATTTTTTGTTCTTTTTTTTTTTTTCCTAACATTCTGAGAGGTACAAACTCTCCTTGTTTAATCATTAAATTTAAACATATTTAAAAATCAATAAAAATCAAATAAATTATTTAATAAAAAATTCAATTCAACAATTACTACCTGTCACGAGAGGAACTCTTTTTGAAACATTACTTTCCAATGGCCCCTACTTTCTCTCTCATATTAATTACCACTCTAAATCCAGCATGAGATTTTGCTCAGCCTTTAGGGACCCCTTGGTAGCCCCCCCCCCCTCTCTCTCTCTCTCTCTCTCTCTCACACACACACACACACACAGTCACACACATTCTCTCTCATACAATATTAATTAAGATGCTAAATCTAGCAGGATGCTGACTAAGCTTAAAGAGATTCTTTTGTCTCTGTATCCACTGGTATAACTAACCTAAATGCTATCCTCAATCTCGATTTGTTTTTACCCACTTGGAAGAGATATTAGGATCTCACGCGCTCTATCTTCAACCCCATCCATCCATTTATTCCCTCCTTTAGAATGAATGATTCTCAGGTTATATTTTCTTATGATGTGTTCATAAATTCATAATCATTTTCAATTTTTACCACAGCCCAATCCATTTTAATTGACCAAATCTCTTCATGGGTCATCATCATTTTATCTTTTCACATCATCAAATGAAAAAAAAAAAATTAAAACACTTTGATAACTACGAAAAAGTCTACAATATTTCGAAACGTCGTACTCCAAACTTCTTAATCGTTAGATCATTCATTAAGTGAGTATCAATATCACATTCAACGACTGACAATCTCAAGAGTACAGCACCGGGTATTATAGACTTTCACAATAACTTCCTACGTAATACCCCAATCAATTATATTCTTTTCTTTCCCATGATAATAGCAAACTAATTATTGATACATTTTTCTTAATAATAGAATGAAACATTGTATGTTTTAATGTGTGTGTTTGTGTGTGTGTGTGTGTGTGTGTATATATATAAAATAATGTATTTCTTAAATTGGTAAAAAAAAAATAATAATAAAATAAAATGAACAAACCGAGAGTAAAGATTAGCATTGTGAGCTTAACTTCTCACCTAGTGCATCCAAGGGATGCAAACCCTTTTATGAACTCCTTCGAATTCATATATCATAGTTTGATAAGAAGCATGGAGCCTGATAAAAATATACACATTATCACACTTGTTATATAGCTGTAATTCAATAAGCATATAGTGGAGAAAATTCGTTAATTATTCTAAAGTTTGTAATTTTGTTTTTCTATTCATCACTGTGAAATCTCGACGACTTCATAGATGTATTTCTAACTTTGAGTAAACTACATAAATAAGTTATTCTTGCTTGTATCTTATTCTCTTTTATGTTAAATTTCATTACATGTTTCAAGATTGATTCTTCTTGTGTTAGTGTCATGAATCACTAATTTACTTCAGTTTTTTCAAAGAGCTGTTTAGTGATAGTGAATATGACCTATATTTGAACTCAAGGACGGAGCCAGAATGTAAAGTAAGGGGTCAAAAATGAATTTTGGGAGGCAATAGTACATTTTTTTTAGTAATTTCAAGGATAGCAAATGTAATATTTCATGAGTATATTACTGAAAATAAATAAATTATTAGAGTAGAATAAAAAAAAATTTGTCCATCCATCCCTGTTTGAACTTATTTACTACATCAAATATTTAAATAAAAAATTGCATAAATAAACCTAAACATCATTAATCTTAATAAAGTGCTAGTCCTAATCCATAAACACTTGGATTTGGATGGGTAGATCCGAAGATCTGTAAACATTTTGCACATTCATCACACTTTGTCACTTTCTCAATGTTATAATATAACTTAGATATGGAGATCCGTCTCACACCCACGCTTCCATATTATATACGGAGTGGGTGAGAAGTGCATTATTGTATTTTTATTGCATTAAAAAAATGAGACATGTGAAATGAGTCAGGAAACATATCATGGGTCCATCACTAGCTGGATAAAAAGGGTCTACTTGTTTTTAACCTTTTTCATCAAAATCAAGTTTTTGCATCATTGGATGAGTTGTAGGCTATGAAGTACGGACACGGATGCGGAACACGGGTACGATATGATACGGATACGGTGACATAATAAATTTCAAAAAAATAAGACATGGACACGGCGGGGATACGCCTATAAAATTATATATATATATATATATATATTCAAAATATAATTTCTAAAATCTTGTACAGAAAATAAAACAACAATAAAGAACAGAATCAATTTCAATAATTTCATCTCTGTTATAAGAAAAATATAAATAAGACAAAACAGAAAATAAATGAAAAATAAAGTTGATCCAAATTCCAAACGAAGATGTGCAGAAGAGACATAACTATAATGAACTAAATATGTATATGAATAAGCATATATACTTTTAGTCTTTCACAAAGTTTTGTTTATGTAACTTAAATATATATATATATATATATATATATATATATATATATATATATATATCTTGTTCATGAAGAGAGATAATTGAATAAGAGGAGAGATTGAGAGGAGTGAGAGAAAATAAATTTTGGACACTTTACAGAAGTGTCTGATCGTGTGTCCGAGTCTCGAACACGCGTTTCCAATAAAAAATAATATTTGGATACTTTACAGAAGTATCGGACACGTATCCGACCCTCGGATATGAATGTCGGTGTCTGAAAAATATTCGACACGGGTACGAAATTCTTGAAAGAAGTGTTCGTGCTTCATAGGTTGTAGGTGAACAATATAGGCTAGGGCAGTCCAGATGCATAAAGAGAAGTTGCATTTGTTTGAAGTCAAAAACTGGATTGATTGGATAATCTAAACTACCTACACCAAATATTTATGTAGTGGCATGTGTTTTTTTATTGGTGTTAGTGAAACTAGTTTTAGTGGCAATAGGATAGGGGCTAGGGAGAATGCAGAACACCTTGAGGAGCATAGTAATGATGCATATAAATAATTACAACTTTCTATAAATGCTTATCCTACATATGAGAGTGTGTGGAACATCTGTTTTGACTTTTGCCTCTTAAATAAAATTGTAGTCACAAGACATTCATTTTTATTATAATTATCAAAGTTATCATATATATATATATATATATATATGATAACTTTGATAATTATAATAAAAATGACGAGATTATTTATTGTAATTGTTACAATCACAGTGAGACGTAATGAATTGATAACTTATATATATATATATATATATATATATATATATGATAACTTTGATAATTATAATAAAAATGAATGTCTTGTGACTACAATTTATATATATATATGTATGACGAGATTATTTATTGTAATTGTTACAATCACAGTGAGACGTAATGAATTGTTAC